AAATAAATAAATCACACGACATATTACGCTGGGCACGTACGCTACATCAGACCTGTTTACAGAGCTGAAAAGCAAGACTGCTGCTTTGAAGAACAAGGTGCACCGGCCCGCGACGTGGCATTCTCACACCAGAGTGGGGCAATGAATCCGGCAGACTGCAGAGGAACTGATGCGCTCGAATCACAGTGCGGGTGAAGACTACCGTAGACGGCCAGAGCAAGCAAGCCTGTCTCGAGGCAGTACAGCCAGAATGCTCCTTCCAGGTGTGTATGGCGACACTTCATCTCATGTACTCTGCTCGTGGGAACAGGGCGTCATGCTTGCACAAGAGACTTTCGACAGAGGGATTTACACTTGCAACAATGGGGCGGTGCTGTGCGTGAGCTCTGCTGTGGGTGAGATCGCAGAAGAGCCAGGACCAGCTTGGCTGCCTCTCACAACTTAGCTTAGTAAACTGCATTTAACTTTCAAGGACTGACTGCAGAGGGTTAACTGTTACCAGAAACGTTGTCAGATTCAATGCCCCACTGCTGCTGAAATGACTACAAAGTAAGTTTGTAGTTCCTAAAACGTGTAGATAGCTGACAAACCTACTGTATGTGCATACAATTACTATCAACCGTGCTCTACCGCGGAAATAAATACCCATGCATAGATTTTACCAAGCTTTGTCTGACAAATCAGAATTAACACTGCAGCAGGTCTGGTTTTGGTTCTTGCAGATACACCTCTGGGCAGGGTGTGCACCTTCACGTGGATGCGGACAGAAAGCCCGAGTGAACACTTCCTGTTCGGGGTCTATGCTCGCTCCGAGGCGGATGGTCTGCATGCAGACACAAGCAGGGATCCAGCAGAAACTGTCCTTGCCCATCCCCGGGGCTTTGAAACGGGAAGTCGTGCCTCAATAGCAAACAACTGACAAAGACAGACGTTGTGTTCCTTGCAGGGAGAAACGTGGTACGCCTGAAGGCCAGACATCCGGGTGTGGGCAGAGAGGGAGTGAGAAGTGCCGGCCTGGGGCGCAGCCTTGATGAGGGTCTGATTTTCATAGGCTACCACTGGGTCCGCAGAAGCTGGCAGGCAGAGGGGTTGTCTGGGCATGGGTGTCATCGGTTTCACTAAAGATTGAAAAACAACAAACAGCAGCTGGCGAGAGTCTGGCCAACTCTTGTCTATTACCGAGGTCAACGTGCAGGGAGGTTAGGTGGTGGTAAGGCAACCTGCTGAGGCCAGCAACCAACCAGTCAGAACAAACCCACGACCACGCCAACCTGTTGTCAGGAAAAGAAAAGAGTGTAACTACGGGTGAGAGTCAGGAACTTCAAATACAGTTGGACCCCACTGGGGAGTGAGTTGCGCCCGATCACACTGTGATCAGATAGGCTGAAAATCATGGTTCTATTTGGTAGACATAGAAATAGTACCAAAAGACATCAAAAAGTATTTTTTAAGCATTTTAATCTAGGAGGTACTCAAATAACACCTTTCTCTGAAACGTTCCCCTCTTCTTTATAAGGCTTCTTAACTTGACCAACAGTTTCCACAAAGCCAGATATTTTCCCTCCATGAAAAACAAAGTTGTGTTTATTCAATAAACAGTAGCCACAACTCCAATGACTTAGTAAAGGGTTAAGGCAAAGTTATGATAACATAAACATTATAAAATAAGAACACATTAATTCAAGTAAGGCACAAGTTCAAGGAAACATTGTTTCATGAGAGATCAAAATAGCTTCCATTTTCTTTGCATGAGATAAGCTGCTGAGCTCACAGAGAGCACACGGAGGAATGACTGGTGGAGAACACTTTACAGCTCAAGTAACAAAATTGACTTCAAGTTCACGTGTCCATCGCTGTAAGTCCAGGGTAACTTGGAATCTATCACACAGGTGGTAATGCTGATGTGAGCTGGGAAAAGAGGCGCCCACAGTCACATGGAGCAAACTTCTGGAAAATCACATGGTTCCATCACACAGAGAAATACAACAAGATGTGAGGGTAATTCAACCAACTCTATCCCTGCTAGCTACAGCTCAGGAACCAGCGTGGAAAAGCGACTGCGATCATTTCCACAAACGGATTTAAGACGCCCGTTCTTCAAACGACCTGCAGAGGCAAAAAACTAACGAGAACCTTCAGGAAGGCTGGTGCCTGGGAGCCTAGAGCCCCATGAACCACACCTGTGCCATGCCCGAGAGCACAGAGCCCCATGAACCACACCTGTGCCATGCCCGAGAGCACAGAGCCCTATGAACCACACCTGTGCCATGCCCGAGAGGCGCCCAAGCCCACGCTGGGGAAAGAAAGAGGCTTAGGATGCCCCAAACGCCCCAAAGTGTCTTCCTCTCCTCAGACCTTCTCCAAGAGTTCCGTAGAGCAAGACTGGCTACGATGAGCCAAAACTGAGAGTTAGGTCACTTCCAAACACACAACCAAATGACTGGGTGTGAGCGTGTTTTTTAAACAATAAAAAACATATGACCAGCATGAACACAGTAACAGAAAGCCGTTTCTGCCCACTGGCCACAGCCCTTACCGACAGACCACGATCATTTATGTGTGAAGCCAGGCACGCTGCCACTCTCCAACTCGCTTTAAAGGGTCATTAGGCAAGGGAGCTCTCCTCAAGTGTGAGCTGTGGTGTCTGCTGTGGCGGCAACGGGGACCAAAACTGAGGTCAGCCAGCCAGCCAGGGTCTGGAGGGGCTAACATGACTCAGGCCATTTCCACTTTACCCCTGGCAACTCAGACCTGGCAAGAAGCCCCAGGAATTTGGTGACCCCTCTAACCAATCCCAGGAATGTTCTTGTTTCTTCGAGGGCTGACCTGGATGGGAATCGGCCAAAGCAGACGGTCTAGAATCAGAAAAGGAAACCCCTGTCTTTTCCACCCTGCAGTGTCCACTCGGGCAGCAGCACAGAGAGAAACCCTCCGGTCCTAAGCTGGGACACCTGGCAAGATTCCTGAGTGCGTGTGTGATTTAAGAAAACAAAACCAAGTGTCGTCGTGTGTACTTGGGGTGGAGAAAAACAAACAGAACAAAAAGGGGCTCCACTCAAAAGGCTGACAAGGTCAACACAGGGCAACTCCATGTGCTTGTAGAGCCACCCAAACCACGGACCTCACGGAACAGGCCTATCCTTGTAAACCCCAGACACTCTTGAATTCCATTTAGGGCTGGATTGATTTGTTTTTTTTCTCCTGAGGGGAACTTTCTCCTGCTCCACCGGCAGAGCCAGTGCTGCAAACATCACCCCGCTCGGGGGCTCCAGCTCTGGAGCGGAGGCCGGCTCAGCCCTTTCTCTGCTGGCACCAGCACTCAGCATCGAATCGGCCTGCCTCCGCTCACGCGGAAGGCGGAGTTGAGAGCCCAGTTCAGTGACCTCTCTTTTCTTGGGGGAAAAAGGTATATTTTGTAGGGTTAAACTCTTCCCAGATCCGCTCAAATTCCTCCAGGAAAAGCCTCACGTACTCGTCGTCCTCCATGATCAGCACGTTCTCCCGGTTGTTCTGGATGGCTTGGGTGGTCCAGTTGAGTGAGCCCGTGATCAGCACTTTCTTATCCACGATTGCGAACTTGTGGTGCATGTAGCCCAGGTCTTGATCATGCCGAACCTGAATACCTGCAAAACGGCACACGGGCCTGTCACTGCTGCCTGCACAGAGATGAACTCCCTGCTCACCTGCTGCCTGGTTTCTAGTAGCTACAAAACATGTTGCCCTTTGCTTCCAGTTTGGCAGGAGAAGAGAAGAGAGCCATGTTTAGGCAGGCAATGAGTGGCTGCCAGTGGGACTTGGTCAGTGAGCACTCCCAGAAGCCCCCTCACAGGAGGGACTGCCGGAGAGCGGGCAAAGCTTGAAGGGGTTTGAGCCTGGACATCGGCAGTGGCACTGCATGCAAAGCCGAGGATGGGGTGGAAACCATCCTTTTGTGGAGACAACTGGGTGCGGAGGGGGGGGGGCGGACAGGAGACCTCACAGTGGCTTTTCTTGGTACCACTCAACTTCCTTAGGGAAAAAGCTCCCCCCACCACCCCCACAACACCTCTGGAGACCACACCCATCAGTCCCTCCTTCCAGGGCTCTGGGTCCCCACGGTGCATTTTCATCTTGTCCCAGCAAAGAGCGTGTAGGGGCTTCTGGGCTGTGACAGTCTCCCTTTGCCAGAGGCCCCTGTAAGCCTCATGTCCTCACACTACCGAGGCCTGCAGCTGCTGGCGCCCCTGGCCACCCCAGGACACACACCTGGGCAGAAGGTGAGCAGGGTGAGCTCACTGGAGGCAGCGAACCAAGCGCACCTGCGGTCCACAGATGGGTTACATTGAGACAGAAAGGAACTACATTCTCTCAAAGCACCCTCATTCCTTCCCCAAGCGTCTGCAATCATCTTTCATTTGATGGGATCTCTCTCTCCCACTATCTCAAAGGCTCCCTGGGGCAGGGGGCTGGGCTCTGCCGCCTACCCTGCTTGCAACACCTAGACTAATTCCTGGCTCGGTGAGTGGGGCACTCAGAAAGGTGATTTAAAAGGCAGGTGAGAGTCGGCTTCTTTGCACACGGCTGCCAGTTCTAGCAAACAGAAGTACAGGGTGCCCTGATTAAACCTCAATATCAGATAAAAAAGTAATTTTTTCAGCATCTCTCTCAAGGAGCCCTGGTGACTGTTGTGGCTTACACACTGGGCTGCTAACTGCAAGGTGGGCCCTTCAAACCCTTCAGGTGCTCTGGGGAGAAAGGTGAGGCTGTCAGCCTTGGAACCCTTGGGGCCAGTTCTGCTCTGCCCCAGGGGTTACTGTGAGCCAGACTGAATGGCAGTGAGTTTGGTTTTTAGAGTCTGGGGAGCTGTGTCGCATGCAGTATTTCCAGACATGCTTACAACTGAAAAAACTCTTTGTTGTTAACTGGGCAACTGGGAAAATAGTGACTTCTTCAGCCCAAGCACACCTGGCGCCTCTTCTCTTCACACCCTTTAAGCAACCCACTGGCAAATCTTGTTGGCCCTCCCTTCAAAGTCTGCCTTAGATCCAATCATTTTTCCCATGCCTATCCACAACCTCCTCACTTATCCTCCCTCTCCACCGCAGGGACAGCTCCGTGAGAGACACTCCCAGCCCCGTGGGCCTCCGCCCCTCCCCACCTCGGCTGCCTTTTTGTCTCCCAGCTGTGGTCACTGACTTGGGCAGGTTGTTCCTCCAGCATCCTCCCAGCTCACGGCACTCAGGCTCTGTGTACCGCCCTCATCCACACCCGTCCCTTGCCCTGCTGTGCTGTCTGTCTCCTCACGTTATCAGCCCCGTCCTCTCAGCACCTGGGGTACCTGCTGGTTCCTCAGCAATCTTGGCACGGTTTTGCTCACTCTGGACTTCCAGCTCCGAGAGCCCCCTCTGGCACACAAGTCCACATACACTGGGCTCAAGGTCATGCAGCCGTGTCTGCGATGCCACCTCAAAGGCCCCACTTACAATTCTTTCCAACCCTGAGATTCCGGCTCTCTGAAAGCAAACATCTCCAACACAGCCGCTCACAATCCTCTATGAAAATGACTGCCAGGTTTGGGACAAGTCTTTTGAAGCCAGTGAGAGTCTGGGTCCTCGATACATGGCCATGTTTGTGCCTGCAGCGCTGGCAGCACCATTTGCCCACAGAGCCTGGAAATCCTTTCCTCTTCAGACTCCTGAGAGGTGAGATGAACAAAGAGCCCCGTCCCAAGTCGGCCGCCCCACTTCCTGGGTGGGCAAACGTCCAGGGTGAATGAAACCAGGCAGTTCTCAAAGGGACAGGGCACTCTTCTGGCCCTGTGACCAGGCTGCATGTAGTTCTGGGCAAGACAACCTTTCCTGGGGTCTGACACGAGCTATGCATTCTCGAGTGCGCGCGCGGTAAGGACTGCCCTCGGAATGCCTTCCAAATTCACCCTTCCCATGTCATTCTGTCACCCTAGCCCAGGGAGGTCAAAGGCTTTTGTGGGTCTCTTCCAGGCAGCTGGGGGAATAATGAAGAGAACTGTTGGTCAACTGAATATTTTAGCGCCACGCTGCTGGGTAGAATCCTATTAACTCACTGCCGTCTAGTTAATTCCAACTCATAGCAACCCTACAGGACAAGGCAGAACTGCCCACCCACCCCAGCCCGGGGGGTTTCTGGGAGTGTAACTCTTTCAGGGAGTAGAAAGCCTTCTCTTTCTCCCGTGGAGAAACCCCCAAGGGTCGTCTAAGGCCTGCTAACATCACACAAGACCAGTGAGCATCACACGAGCAGTTCCAGCCACGCAACGATGCCGGAAAGATCCAAATCGCCATCGACACAAAAAAGGTCCCTTTCCTGCATGGTTTTCCTCCTTCGGCCCTACGGTCCTGGAACTGAATGCCCCCGGCTAGCTTACCTGTGGCAGGCTCACAGTAAGTGACCACGGGCCGGCAAACAGGTTTGCTTTTTAAACTCTGCCCCTCCCCTCCCCCACCCCACTCCCAACTCCATCAAGCTAAGCCACCACGGTGTATGCCAGGCTCTTCACCTACCTCACCCAGGGCACACGGCCCCTCGGTGTCCCTGAGCTATGCTGGGCGGGACGGAATCTTGCGGGGCTGACGGCTACGCAGGAGGCCGGCCACCTGCTCCAACGGCATCTGAGCGCTCTCCTTACCGGGTGTGGGAACACATGGCCGGCGGATATGGGGCAGAAACCTCTGCCAGGGCTCTCACCTCAGGTTAGGGCTCTGGGCTCTGGCAAAACAAAGCGGCCCCCGCCCCCAACGGGGTAACCCCAATCCCCACTAGATGGGAGGGCTCCGTGTTCTCCGCTACAAATGACTCACTCGTTGCCATCTGGGCCATGCTGACAGCGACCCTAAGGGGGCTGGAGAGAATTGCCCCTGTGGGGTTCCAACACTGTCCCTCATTCTCTAGCCCACGGGGCAGCCGGTGCTTTCGAACTGCTGACCTTACGGTTGGCGGCCCAAGGCGTCACCACTGCTCAGGAGGCCGTG